CTGCAATTTCCCTCTAAAAATTCTAGAGTCAAGAATACGCTTTACTTCATAGTGGGTCTGTCCCGCAACCACGAGGGGCCCAGGTGCCTTCTTTGGAGGAGGTCTTAACGTGGAGCCCCGATATGGCTTCAACAAGCTACAATGGAAAACTGGGTGAATTTTCCCTAAGAGTTTAGGGAGTTTTAGCTCTACTGTGACTTTCTTGCTGGGCAACTTGAGGCGTAGATATTTAGTTGACAAATAAACCTTTTCCCCAACTTGGAATGTTCTTTGGGGAGCCCTCTTTTTATCAGCCTGCTTTTTATAGGTTTCAAAAATCTTTTTTAAAGCAGCTTTTGTGTTTCTCCAAACTTCTTCCCACCCCTTCACCCACTGGTCAAGTGTCTGGGAAGCGGAGGGCATCTGAGGATATTCAGGTATTGGGTTGAACTCTTTTCCTGTGGCCACTCTGAAAGGCGTGTAACTGGTGCTGCTGTGCACAGAATTATTGTACGCCACCTCCGCAAAAGGGAGAAGATCAGTCCAGTTCGTCTGTTGGTAAGAAACGTAGCACCTAAGATATTGCTCCACCATTTTGTTAGCGGCTTCCGCGGCCCCATTGGTGGCCGGATGAAAAGCAGATGATAAACCTTGAGATGATCCAATTAATGTAAGGAAAGTCCTCCAAAACTTTGCTGTGAACTGCATCCCCCTGTCCGAAATTATCCGCTTAGGGGCGCCATGCAGCCGGTAGATATGTTTCAGGAACAATTTGGACAGTCGTTGGGCAAATGGGAGTCCTTTGCAGGCGATGAAATGAGCCTGCTTCGAGAACAGGTCTATTACAGTCCAGATGACAGTGTTTCCACTATTTTCAGGTAAGTCTACTATAAAGTCCATAGCTATTTCTTCCCATGGTTGAGAAGGGTCTGCAGTAGTTCAGGGGTTTTCCCTGGGATTCTTTTCATTGTGGCACATACAGTACAACTTTTTACATAGTTTTCCACATCCTTTTTTAGCCCCGGCCACCAGAATTGTCGGCGGGTGAGGTGTAGGGTTTTCAAATATCCGAAGTGTCCAGCCTGTTTTTCATCATGGCTGTGTTTGAGAGCATTAAGACGGAGGGCTTCTGGCAAATA